AATTTGCATTAAAATCTCGCAGCCGCGGCATCATGAAAACTGGGTCACCGACGCAGCGCGATGCCGTCGCCGCTTTCTCTTTCTCTCGTTTTTTTTTGCGCGCCCGCGGGTTCCGTCGACGACGAGAAAAGCCGCACAAGTCTGCTGTGTTTTTTTCCGAATCCCCTCCCCCTCCTCCGGAGGAAATCCCCTCTCGGTGCTGAAGCTGAAGCTCTAGACGTAAATCTTGAGGCTCGTCATGGTAACGCAGCAGCAGCAGCAGCAGCAGCAGTAGTAACAGTAGTAGTAGCAGTAGCAGCAGCAGTGGCAGTAGTAGCAGCAGCAGCAGTAGCAGCATCATCATCATCAGCAGCAGCAGCAACAGCAGTAGCAGCAGCAGCAACAGCAACCGCGGGGGAAATTGTCGGCGAATTCATTTTTTTCGTGCGAGCGACTGCCGACAGATTGCGTTAGGTACACCACGCAATCCACTTTCGATCGTAAAAATGCATTCTCCCCGAGCGACTGATGTGTTGTGTCGATGGGATTCTATAGGTGGCCCAGATGAAGAAAGAGTCATTACGGGAGCATATAGGCAAGAGCCGCTCGCATGGCCGGTAGTTACGCGGCAACATAAATAGCTGAACGAGGAATGTTGTGTGTGCATCATGTATTTTTATGTGTATCTGTGTGTGTGAGCGTGCGTGCGTGGCAGTGTGTGTCGGCATGGCCGTGCGGTGGCGTTGCGTTCCGCTGCGGTGTGTGTCGTGTGGGGCAGATGCGTGCGCTGTGGCGTGCGTGCGACGCGATGTGTTGTGTGGTGGATGCGTGGCGTGGGCTGCGTAGCGCTGCGTATGCGTTCGTCGGTGTGGGGTGGTCCTATGTGTCGCTGTGCATCATGTATTTATTATATGCTGTATGTATGTGGGTCGTGGAGTGCTGTGATCGTGTGCTGATGTGTGGTGTGGTGGCTCGTTGCTGTGCGTGAGCCTGGTGCGCGTGCGTGTGTGCGGGCTCGGTGTGTTGACATCATCGATATAATTATGATGTGTGATGTCATGTGTGGTGTGTATGTGCTGCGTGAGGCGTTACGCGGCGGAGGGAGGAGGAGGGTAGAACTCAGCGTGACCGGGCAAACTGGCCTGCGCCGACCGGTGCGCTGGCCTGCCGCTTGCGTGCGTGCGGATGCGTCTCGTGTATGTGTGTGTGTGGTGTGCTGGCCCAATGCATGTATTTTATGTAGTAGTGTATGTGTGTGGTCGTGCTTTGCGTCGGTGTGTGTGTGTGGTGGCGTTCGCGGCTCCGCGCGTGTGTGTGTGGTGACAAGTGCATGTCCCGTCGATTGTGCGTGCGTGCGTCCTGCGTGCGTGTGTTGGTCGTCGGGTGTGATGGCGTGGTGTGTGTGGCCATCATGTATTTAATATGTGAAAATATGTGATGTGTGTGTGCGCTCTACGCGTGCGTGCTGTCGGTGTGTTGCGCTGCATGGCGGGTGTCGTGGCGGTTGCGGTGGGGTGTGTGTGTGCGCTGGCGTATGCGTCTCGGTGTATGTGTGTGTGGCATCCATGTATTTATATGGTGGTATATTATGCTGCTGTCTGTGTGCGTGCTGTCGCGTGCGCGACGTGTAGTGTGTGCGTGTGTGTGCTCGCGTGCGTGCGTGTGCTGCGCGTGTGTGGTGGTGTGAGCCGAGCGCGGCAGTGCGCTGTGTGCTCCGTGGCTGCGTGTGTGCGTATGCGTCTCGTGTATGTGTGTGCATCATGTATTTATATGTGTATGTATGTGTGTGTGTGTGCGTGTGCGTCTTGTGTGTGTGTACGTGTACGTGTACGTGTGTGTGCGCGTGGGTCTACGTTTGTGTACACGTGTGTGTGTGTGTGTGCGTGCGTGCGTGCGTGCGTGCGTGCGTGCGTGCGTGCGTGCGTGCGTGTACGTGTACGTGTACGTGTACGTGTACGTGTGTGTGTGTGTGTGTGTGCGTGCGTGCG